GACACCATCTAAACCCAGCCTGGACTTCTGGCAGTTCTCTGCTGATGTGCTGTTCCAGTCGTTTTTAGATAATCTTCAGTAGAATCTTGCTTGCATATGAAATCAATGATATTGTTCTATAGTTTCCACACTCTGTTGGGTCACCCTTCTTTGGAATGGGAACAAGTATAGATCTCTTCCAGTAAGTTGGTCAAGTGGTTGTTCTCCAGATTTCTTGGCACAACTTGGTGAGAAATTATAGTTAATTAAAATTCAGTATCCCATTGTCAGGTTTAGAACTTTAGGGAGGTTTTTTTTTTAATTTTATTTTATACTGATTTACATACAGAGTTCATATACATTGTTTTTCACACTGGACATTTCCCCTTTCCTAACAGTCCCTTTAGGGAGGTTCTCAAATTGATTCTCCATATTGAAGATATTCAGGTTTAGAATAGTGTGTTTTATCAAGTCTACTGAGAGGTGTTAGTATTGTGGATGGTAGTTTTATAGCAGTCATTACCAAGCTTGAGCTCTTTACATTTTTATGAAAAACATAAAGGGTAAGGAACTAAAATGTTTATTTAAACTTGAATTTTTATTTGAGAAAATAAATCACTTTTAAAAAACCAAATACAAGGAGAGGAAAAGATATCACTTACTGTCCTCTTGAAGTGTGATTTTTATTTCATTTAGAAAATATTATATGCTTCTCTGTCCATTCATTTGTTGATGGACACTTGGGTTGTTAGAGAAGCTGTGGTATATTCACACAATGGAATACTATGCTGCATTTAAAAACAAAGAACTCATGAAATATTATACAAAATGGGTAACCCTGGAGGACATTATGCTGAGTGAAAATCTCAGTCACAAAAGGACAAATGCTGCATAGTGCCACTGTTATAAAATGGAACTGACATTGGGGTTGGGGAAAACTAAGAAAAAAGGAGATCAGTAATATATACTGCACTGAAACAGATTAGGGAGAGGATTGTTTAAAAGGAATAAAGGATTAGGTATTATTTTCCTAAGATTACAGAAAAATAAATGCATATAAAAGTGGACTGTGGACTCGGGTGGGGGGAGGATTGTACTGGGGGTATGGGTGGGCAGGGAGGAAAATGTGCAACAGTGAATGAATAGGGGAAAATTAAATGGAAAGAATATGCTGTATAAAGATATGTTGCATTAGAAAATCATTACTAAAACATTTAAAAATTTTAAAAAGAAAATATGTGCAAGTCACAGTACTTCTTTAATCTGCAAAGATAAAGCTCACAAATAACTCACAAGACAGAATTTGGTAAGGACTGTCAAAGAGGTTTAAAGTATACTTCGACAAGTCAAGAAAAGGAGGGCTTGTAGTCAGGGTTGTATATGGTATCAAGAAAGCTTTTGTGGAGTGGGTATTATAGTTAGTATACTTTAGACAGTATCTAGGGAGCTCTGGTGGCAAGAAGCTGTGCTGTAATCCTGAAAGCATGCAGTATGAGGCCACCAGCTGCTCTGTGGTAGATGGATGGGCAGTCTCCTCCTGTGTGATTAACTGCCTCTGAAAACCTGTTGGAGGGTCAGCTATGGGACACTTCAGACTCAACGGAACACAACAACAGCAATGCTTAAGACAGGATCTTGGTATATCGGGCTTAGATATGGAAATATCCTTGAGAGAGCTCTGGTGGCTTAATAGTAAGAAGCTGCACTGCAGTCCTGAAGGCGCATGGTTTGAATCCATCAGATGCTCCATTGGAGCAGGAGGAGCAGTTTCCACTTGTGGCAGTCGGATCTGATTCGAAGGTACACAATAAAGAACAAAAAAAGGAAAGAATATCCCTTGTGGTATTAATAGATTTAACAAAGGCAAGGAAGGAGTCAGAAAGACCTAGGTTAGGAAATCTAAATATTGGTTAATTTACAGTGGAGGAATAAGTGTTTGGTGGTGGTGTTTGTTGTTATGTGCTGTTGAGTTGGAACTGACTCTTAGCTGACTCTCTAGCCAGTTTCAGAGGCTGTGAATTGTATGGGAGAAGATTAATCATCTTTCTCCAGAGGAGCAGGTGGTGTATTCAAACTGTATATCTTTGAGTCGGCAGCACAGCTCCTTACCCAAAAAGCCACCAGAGCTCCCCATTAAACACCAGAGTAGAGTTATAATGTTTAAATCCATGCAAATAGAGATAGAGATCATGTGCTGAAAGGTAAAAGAGTTGGAGTTATGTTTTACGAAGATTAATTTGTCTACAGTATGTAAACTGTACTGAGGTGAGAATAGCAAGGATATGTTTCAAAACAAAAGGAGGTAATGAAAAGATTTATAAAAGACAGCTATTCATACTTTCTTATTTGTT